GTGTGTGTGTGTGTGTGTGTGTGTGTGTGTGTGTGTGTGTGTGTGTGTGTGTGTGTGTGTGTGTGTGTGTGTGTGTGTGTGTGTGTGTGTGTGTGTGTGTGTGTGTGTGTGTGTGTGTGTGTGTGTGTGTGTGTGTGTGTGTGTGTGTGTGTGTGTGTGTGTGTGTGTGTGTGTGTGTGTGTGAGAAACTTGAACATTGCTGACAGCGGTTTTCTATCAACGTAATTTGTTTTTTACAGCGAGAATAGAAACTGATGTTCTTTGGATCAGTTCATTCGAATAGTGTATGGTTGCGGTTTAAGAGAGTAGGTGTGTGTGTGACTGCTCTCGTGTTTTAAGCATCTCCAATTCGTCCTTTATTTGTTTAAATCATCAAAGTATTCCGCTTAAAATGTGTCTTTTTAGAATGTAGTGAAAACAGTAATTGATAACATTTTAATTTGTGTCTTTTTAACCTTAATCTCTTAATCAGACATTAAACTAGTCAAATCTGTTTGTTTAATAGAGTAATTGACCTTTTGACAATCCTTTTACAATAACATGAATTGTAAAAACTCTCACCAAATTGAGGAATAGTTCACGTAACAAATGAACCTGCTGAATGAAGACCATATCAGTCATTAACACCAGTGAAGTTCAGTGAGTTCACAAAGATAAAGGTAGTGGTCTTCCTTTCAATTTGAAAACAAAGCAAAATGATCCAGTAGGTGCGTCACACTGGAAACTGGTGACCTTTTTCAGACTGTTGGTGTTAAAACATGTCAGGAGAACCTGGTATGCCTTTATGTTTATTAGACACACACACACAGGCTATCTGCAGGGGCATAATGGAAACTGTCAATCATTGTCACTGTCAGTATTCCTCACAGTAAGAGCTAAATACAATTTAAGTAATTAGGGACACACATTGCATTGTGTGTTGTGACGTCATTCGCTGTATACTTTTTACTAAAGCTGACCATTCTTAGAAGAAAAACCCCTCAGATCTTAGCTTTTAAGATGTTCACTCACTGTCGTCTATTGAATATTCTAATAACCAAGCTTTCTCGTTGCTGTCCCAAATCCTCTAACTATTCTCTTCTGAAACGTTGTGTCCCTGTCGCTCCCTCAGGGTCACGAGATGACCAGTATTGGGCTCCTTCTGGGTGTGTCTTCTGCCAAACTGGGCACCATGGACATGTCAATCACTCGCCTCCTTAGTATTCACATCCCTGCTCTTCTCCCACCAACCTCCACCGAGCTGGATGTACCACACAATGTTCAGGTGAGAGTGCATCAGAATTAATCTGTGTATCTGTGCAATAAAGAGGAACAATAGTCATTTTGAAATGGACTTTTCGGTGATTATATACGAGCGAGTGAGTACGTGATTAATTACATGGCTATTAGTATGTCTGTGTTTATTAAGATCTGCAGACAGACACGGATATCATGAAGAATGTGCAATTGTTTGTATAGATAAATTAAATTAAATGATAAGCAATCAAATGTTCTGTTCTGCAGGTTGCTGCTGTAATCGGCATCGGTCTGGTGTACCAGGGAACAGGACACAGACACAACGCTGAAGTCTTGCTCTCTGAGATAGGTGTGTGTGTGTTTGTGTACAAAAAACCAACAGATGACACAACATCACAATGAAATCAACAATTGATGGCATCATATCGTTAAAATAAGGGTACTCAAACTGTTTAATTAAACATCCACAAAATGCAACAAAACTGCAATGCTGCTTCAATAAGTTGATTATTCAATGTTTTGATTGGCAACTATTTTCAAAAGTTGTAGCTTTTTCCCCAAACTGGTTCCAGCTTCTAGACACTTATCTTTTTGTTGCTCATATTATGATAGTAAACTGAATATTAGAACAGGTGAATACATCTCAGCTTTGGAGATATCATTTACATCAAGCATTTTAAACGTTTCTTTAATAGATCAATTGATTCATTAAGAAAATAATCCTAGCATGAATTGATATTCAAAATAATTGTTGATTGTAAACCTATCTTTACCTTGCAGGGCTCAACGCTAACAATAATTAGATATTAATTATTAATGCTGTAAATTACCTTTAATATGTCTAACTACATTCAAAATGTGTTACCTTTTTATAGAAGTGATTATATTTGTATGCCAATATTTTCCTATGGTAAAGTTTCGTTTTGCACTTTTATTTTGGTAGTAATAAGATCGGGACTCTTATTTTGAAGGAACTTTTACCGGAAGTGAATGCACAACCGACAACCTGTTCCGACTGGTCACAACAATAATTAAATATCACTCTTAATAAAACAAATAATTAACATTTATCTATTTTGGGGAACACATTTAGCTGTTTGCTGTCCTTATTTCTTTATGTTAAAAAGAAGTGGTTGACATTTTTTCTGAATGGTTGCCAATGGCAACCTGGCAACCGTCACTGTCGAGCCCTGCCTTGTGCTTTTGACGTGTTTGGTGTGTGGGACAGATATAATTCAGCTTTTGGGTTTCTCTGTGTATCTTCAGGTCGACCTCCAGGTCCAGAGATGGAGTACTGCACTGACAGAGAGTCCTATTCCCTCGCTGCAGGACTGGCTCTGGGCATGGTGTGTCTGGGGGTAAGTCGCACTCCCCTGGTCAAAAAAAGATTTGCACAAAACATCTTTAAAGTGGGTTTGTGATATCAGACCGTTTAAAGGAGATCATCCGTCAACCACCCTCTGCTCTATCTCCTTGCAGCATGGCAGTAACCTGATTGGGATGACGGACCTGAACGTCCCGGAGCAGCTGTATCAGTACATGGTGGGGGGGCACCGCAGGGCTCAGGCCGGGGCCAGCAGGGAGAGACACAAGTCCCCCAGCTACCAGATCAAGGTAGATAGACAAATCGTTTTGTCTAATAAAATAACCTTACTGTTATAACATAAGATGCATCAACTGCTTCGTTAAATATTCTTCATGAAGCTGCCAATCTGTTTTATATTTGACCCCCTACCCATCACAGTCCCCCTGCTTCCACTCCGACTGCTATTTATTAGATTTTTACTTCATTATTTGCCCCTTTTGTTTGTTTGTTCACCATGTAAAGTGGCCTTGGGTTCCTTGAAAGGCGCTATACAAATGTAATCTATTATTATTATTATTGTTATTTATTTAAGTCAAGGAAATTATTCATAACACTATCATTATAGCATTTTTCATTGTTGTTTATATCTGTTTATTAGTACCAAGAGATTAAAGTATAGAACTGCCAAAGATTGGAGGTACTGTCATTTTTGAAATGTTGTTATTTTTGCCTTATGTTATCAATGTTTGCTTCAGGAGGGTGACACTATAAATGTAGATGTGACGTGTCCAGGGGCAACGCTGGCCCTCGCCAT